CAGAGATGCGCGGCCACTGACTCATCTAGGGGAGGCGGCTTATCGGACCCCTTTTCTTCAGCACCGTCGATGGAGTTGAGGACGGATGAAGAGGCAGTATGGAAGCGGGCGGAGTATGGAGCGCGCCACGATCTGGTGAGCTCGTCGTGGACCTCCGGGAAGAATGGAGAGGTACGCTGACGAGGGGCCTGTCGGCGCCCCGGCAGGAACCATTCATCCAGATGGCTGCGAGAGGGCTCCTCTGGAGGGGACCACTCTAAACCCAGCTCTTCGATCGCCTTGGAGAGGATACGGAGAAGCTCGGCATCCATCCCGTCTTTGGTGGCGCTGGGCGCGGACGATGGCGAGGGGGTGTGGTCAGTCACCGAGCCCAACAGCTCCTCTGCATCCGATGCAGCTGATGACATGCTGTCATCAAGCAGCTCGTCCTCACTTCCCCCAAATGAGATCAGGTCGCTCGCACCAGCAGAGGGACGCTGATCAGACTGGGAGAAAAGGATGGGAGAATACTCTCTCTGGGGCGAGAGCGAGGCACGCGGGATCTGGGCCAACGTGAGCTCGCTCGCAGCCAGTCACTCGAGTCCTCTGCTCCGCTGTTTTTTCCTCACAGATCCCTGGGAGGAAGAAAATGGAAGGGTGCGAGGGGCAGAGCCGCTCTCTGAAAAGAAAGCGATCCGTGAGCGGAGAGAGGCGAGACTGTAAAACTCTCGCAATGAGAGCAAATACCTCCCGTGAGCGCAGCTTCCACATGGGGTTTCCCCAAGCAGGAAACGCACTCCTTGTGGCCGTCGTCGGCATGCAGGGGAGACACGCATGAGCCGCAATAACGGCGTGGCATTTGCAACAACGCCGCTGCTCTTTTAGAAGCTCTTTGAAGTGGGAACCGGACCGGAACTGCTGCGTCGCTGAAGAAGCGGAGAAGCAAGTCAGCCGAGCTGAGAGGTCCTGATTCCAGCTGCGAAGGCGTGTCAACGGCGAGCGGCTTCGGATCAGCTTGAGACGTAGAGTCGTCGCTGAAGGAGAAAAAATCTTGAGAATCCTGTTGCGAACGCCAGCTTATATAGCCAGATGCCCCGCCCATTCTGGCGGGCTTTGGCGGGCTTCGTCGCCATAGGCTCGTGCAGCTCCGCTGCCGCACCATTGGTTCATTTTTAAAGCCCCGCACGAACCAATGGCCATGCAGTTTCACTCCGTGGATGAAATAGGCTTCAGTTCAGGAGAAAAAAGGCTTTTTCCCATATGCGGCTCAAGCAAGATGCAGTACGGGTGAAATATCGAAAGGGAACAGTATCTGTTGGAATCAGGAGTGAGTTGAGTCTCTCTGCATGCTTCATGTAAGAGGCCTCATTTGTGTCACACAAGGAGTTGGTTTTGGAACAGAGAGACAGAGAGAAAGAAAAAAAAAACATTAGATATTAGATTTTTAGAACCAAGCATCAAGATACTTTTTACACCACAAATATGCGACAGCTTGAGATGTGGCTTTTTTAGTTTTGCTTGGTGTGATTGTTTAATGAGTGTGATTGTTAGCTAGAGAGAAAGAACAAAAATCTAATCATTTGGTGGACACTTTAAAGCTATATATATATATATATATATATATATACTAGAATTGTGCTGAAACATAGTCGTATAACAGTTTTAAATAAATAAAATGCAAATATCTATTGGTAGCATTTCCACAATTTCTAAATTTCTGGAAATATACCCTATGTTATGTATACGCTATCATGTCTATAGGAATTAATACTGAAAAATTCGTATTTTTGAAAATCCAGGGGTGTAACGATACACAAAAATAATGTTTTCAGTAAAAAATAATGTTTGTGTGTATGTGTGTGTTAAACAGTGGTTTACCGATTAAACTATGGCTCTGTCTTTAAATATATTCATATAGCACCAACTGGCTGCAACACTATCTTCACACTCTTTATCGTGCTGTTATAAATGGGGAAAAAAGATGTAAAGATCTTCCACTTTTGGATGCAAAATATTGGCCACACTGTTCTTTAAGATCCAATTCTCACTATTAACTACGACTTGTGCCTCAATAAGCTCCTAATTTGCTGCTTATTAATCGTTAGTAAGGTAGTTGTTAAGTGTAGGTATGGGGTTATAAGATCTAAAATATGCTCATGCAGAATAAGGCATTACTATGTGCTTTATAAATACTAATAATATGCATACTAGTTAATAATTAGGATTGGTCTTTAAAATTACCAAACTTTAATATTGCAAAATGTATACTGTCTACTTCTGTTTGATGTGCATGTGTGCGCTGGTGCTCGTTCAGTACAATCTATGTCTAACGTAGACTTGCTTGCTGTCGGGACAAGCCTTTATGCACACATTTCCAACATTTACAGATAAGGATTTAAGTTGTGTGCTGAGGAAAAGTCTGAAATGCATTAAGCAGCACACGTATCAGGAGGACAAGCTATTAAACTATATGCTTATGAGAGAGTTTGAAGTGAAGGTGACACTGAAAAGTATTTTTCAAATGATGAATATAAAAACAGAACACTTGTTTGCATCTAGAAATATTAATATCTGTATTTAGTTATTTAAATACTAAATTAAAACCAATAACCAACCTTTATTAGACATTAATTGCATCGTGTTCCTAAAATATAATAAAATCGAAAAAAAAAAATTATAATCTCTTATTTTTATCCCAAATCCTAAACATAATCACTTTTCAAAACATAAAAAAGTAACAGGCAGAAAAAATGAACAGTGACAATAATTACATAAATATGTAAATATTGTATGTTTTTGTGTCTATACAAAGGTATGTTACAGAAAAGGCATGCAAATACTCATGAGATCAAGTCATTTGAATATATCAGTTAGAGGTAGGATACAATGAGTAAAAAACAAAGGGTAAAAACATTATCAAACTCTTAATAAGCGAATTAAAAAAATTATAATTAGTAAATTACTAGTGACAATGAATGAAGAGCTCACTGTTTGTACATATCCTATAAATAAATTATGAAAACGATTTATAAGTGTAGAAAATGTTTGTGACAGATGTGTGAGATGACAGAAGTGTCTGTGTGTTTTGTGTGAAGCTGGAGGCGTGTTGGGCCGTCAGGGAGATTCTGGATCTGAAATGGATGATGACACTCAACTCAAGTTCTACACGGAGCACAGGGGCCGGCGCCGCAGCAAAGGTAACCGCCTTCGTTTGCCCAACATTCACTTACGTCAGTCGCTTTGCACATGAAAACGTAATAGAGATTTCCAACCACTGCCAAGTCTCATAACGCACGATTCCCAAAATAAATCCCCCAAAAAAGTGCAGCTTCATTATTACATATCTGGAATCACACACACACACACACACGCACGCATGCACACACACACACACACACACAAACATGTAAATACATAACATACAATATTTGGTTAGACTTAATTTCGTAACACTTTATTTGAAGGTGTCCTTGTTACTCATTTTACATGTACTTACTATTATAATAACAATTAATTATGCATAGTTACATACAAGTAACCCTAAGCCAAACCCAAATCCTAACCCTAACCGTATAGTAAGTACATGTAGTTAATTAATATTACTCAGTACTTATATGTATAATTGCACCGTAACAAGAACACCTTCAAATAAAGTGTAACACTTCATTTGATGGATTCCTAGTTACAGTGTAATTATACATTTAACCGAGTATTAACTAACTACATGTACTCACTACACTCTAAAAAAAAATTATAAAAGTATAATAATAGTAAATAAATAATTCAGGGGACATGTTACCACAACTCAAATAATGTATGGTTGCACGTTTAAAAAAAAAAGTAAAAAACTTGTTAAGTTCAGTTGATACAATAATGTGGATCATTACATCAACTTGTTAATAGTGAGAATTGGTCTCTATACTAAAGTCTTACCAAATTGTCTCGTTAACTTTGGAAATTGTGTAGGATAGGACTGGGTAAGCAGAGTAAATGTTGAAATTAAGTGTTATTTTGTGTGTTTTTAAGTAAAGGGAAAGCTAGTGTTCAATGCATACATTTGAAAGCGTTTGTGTAATGTTAAAGTTTTTGTGGTTACCATTGTGTTGAAGAGTACACTACATACATATGACTCTATATGAGCAATGACTGTCTTAATGCCAGTGACAAGTAACACCGCTGACCACATAACATAAGTGACAACTTACATTTAGCATGTGCTAAGATAGCTGTAGATTTGAACCCGAAAAAAGATTATATAAATTGGTTACACGCCCACAGATCCATTTATTGGAGCAATGGATTTATATATATATATATATATATATTAAGGACGGCTCTGCTCTGGACAAATAGTGAGCTGTTCATTTGTTGTCATGGTAGTTAACGATTTATCATTGTTTAATCGGCTCATATGTGTCGAGCGAGATCATGTTTTATTATCCTTTGTTAACAACTTGTTAAACATAACTAACTAATGTAAAGTATTTAAACCAGTAGTAAATGTTTTTTTTTTTTATATGTGTTTATGTTACAAATTAAGTTATTCTAACTCAATACAGTTGTTGGTTGAACATAACATAGCAACATAATCAAATTGACTGCACAAGCCATTTCTACTTAAATTATATTAAACTGACTTATCCTCTTAAGACCCGAGAAAAGATTTTCAGGAAAAAAAAAAATATTTTTTTCATGTCTTTACATTGTTTAGAGCATACTTTTTTTTTTTATTATATTTCATTCATAAGTTATGCTATGTCCTCGGATTTTTCAAATCACCAATACAATTTTAGTTTTCAAGATTTTTTTTTTTTTTTACCAAACTTTGTGTAAAGAGGATTCTCGACTATGTTATAAAGGAATGATTTTATATACCATTTTTCTTTCTGCAAAATGTGTGTAAAATGGCCATAAACTGGTTTTCTCATTATATACAATGTATATATAAACTAAATCTAATTTGCATATTAATGTGTTTTTGGGGCAACATGTAATGAAAAAAGAAGTGTAATAATGGGAGTAATATTTGACAAGATTTTCATAATAATATATAATATTTCATAGCATATTGAAAGATAATGTATTTCCCTATTCATTTGTTATGTCTCCCAAAATGCTAATAAACGTGCTTTTAGTCCCGGTGTCCTCATATGAAGACATGTATGAAATCAACATCCTGTTTCGTAACAGAAAGTCATATTTTGATTTGAAACCCCATAACATTTTCCTGAGATGTTGATTTATGACAGACAGTTTAAAAATCTGTCCGATTTAAATGATAATTACAAAATATGATCATATTTCTATAAGAGTGTCACTAAATGAATATCAGACATTTTTGAAGAGCAATGAGAGGGAGTGGTCATGGTGAAACATCCAAACATTTAGTATCTCTGAAAAGCCCTGCATGTGCTCCGTACAGGACTTAAAACGGTGGCATGTACAGTCTCAGAGAAATTCACTAAAATATAATGTCCTCATATGAGGTCACAGGGTCTCAAAAAATGAATCTCGTTTAATTTAAAAGATGAAGTTTAATGAAGTTTTTTATTTGTTTTACAGTGTGTCAGAATATATTTGTGCAAACTGAATATAATGTTTTCAATTAAAATATATTATTCATAACTCGTATTCACAATGATATTAAGCCTCTTTTCTAAAAACTAGAACAGTATCATTCCATGTGAAAAACGAAAGCACTTTTTCAGGTTAAGCATTCCTCTCAAAGACTTACCCAGCTAACTAAATGCCATCCAAGGTGGATTTTGTTTGAAGTACTTTAAGTCACATCAGGATCATAGTTCACTGTATGCTTCTTTCTGAATGCCCACTGACTTTTTTTTTTCTTTTTAATCTGATTGCTGTTCAATGTCACGCTGCTGTATGAACACTGCGGCACATGCTGATGTGATTTCACTTCACAGATCAACCTGAGCTGCTCGATTGTTTTTACACAAATAAAGTGGAAAATATTAGTTTTCTGAAAGGAAAAATATATGAGCATCTTGGGACACTGTGAAAACAAATTCATGGTGATATGACTATGTGGCATTATACAGGCCTTCGGTGGCCAAATGTGTTGCTGCTTTGTTCACATCCAGAAGAGAAGAACTGGAAGAAGCTGATGCACACTTCAGAGAAAACATAAGCTCCTGAACATGTATCCTGTATGAGACGGAGAAAAAAAAAACATCCTGACAAATAAAAATAAACTTTACATAAATCGAGTACAAGTTAAGAGAAGTAATTTTATTTTTCTGTTTCAACAATACATTATTAAAAGGAGGTGCTTAACATTCCAACCTCAGTATTCTATAAACTTTTATTTGTATTTGCATTTTTTTTTTTACTTTTAGTTTTATTTTATATTATCGTACATTTATTTGATGCATAGTTACCTAGCCCATGTTGACAACATACCGTTTACAACCTTGATTTGATTTAATTTAATTTTATGTTAGATTATAGTTTATCTAATGTCTCAAAAAAGCATGGGGATTATGCTTTTATTGCTTCAAAAATGTATGAGGCACCAATATTTACCCTATGTTTGGAAAGTGACACCGATTAAACCAGGGTTATTACTGTTAACTAAAACTAAATCAATCAATCAATTAATCAAAGTTACCTAATGTTAATGTTACTTTAAAAAAATGTTAATTGAAATAAAATAAAATACAAATATTTTTACAAGGCAACATTTCTAATTTCCATTTAAAATACTAAAACTAATAAATACAAATTAATAGAATCGATATAGACATAAACGATTAATAAAAGTGTCAAAAAAACTATTACAATTATATAAAATATAAAAAAATAAAATCGTATTCAAAATATGAACAAAGTGTATTTAATGATATTAAAATAACACCGGTTTAAACGTCCACTAATGTTAAAGTGGTGGTTCATGAATCAATGCAGCAGATCACATCACAAACCTAAAGGAACACATCAAACAAAGCCAAACTGGAAATTGATTTTTTGGGAACAAAGATCTCTCAATGCAAAGCAGCTCACCATGTCTGCAAAAGTGGAGGAGGAGGAACAATCAGTCACTTCCTATTGTTATTTTACCAGGGATGAGAGACAAACAACTCCTGATAGAGATGATTAGCCCAGCGTGTAGCATCAGAGTCCTGCAGTCACACTCATCTATCACCAGCTTTCAAAATGGCCCGCTGAGAATTCATGATGATGCACAAAGCGGGGCATCGCAAGAGACCAACATCACTCTCAGTCTGTTTAATCGCACAATGATGAATTTAATACCAAAATATGAACTATAAACTGCAACTGTGTTATAAATCCCAGTGAGCTGCGTACCTGTCAAAACACTTTTCCCATACTGCGTGATTTGTAAACTCATACTCTACATTTTTATGTTTGCATTACATATGTTTGGCTTTTCTGATGTAGTAAACTTACTCGATAGTGCACCTGGTACAGCATTGCACTTGTGATTTGAAGCGCACAGGTACGTGTCACAGGAAACATGAGTTACAATAAAAGAGCTCAAAGGCTTGTAGAAGCAAGAAAGAAATAGCATGGTTGCGTCAGCAAATGTGTTTTATCTCACATTTGCTTTTGTTAACACTATCCGGTTAGGTTTAGTGAAGTGGTATGTTATTTTCAGACGTGATACAGCAACCTTTTAGCACCACTCACCAGACATTTTCTTCCCAAACTGCCACGATACATACAACAGCCAATGTAAGAAAACATTGCAAGATTCCATGTTTACCTGTTTCAGAGAAAATAAAACATGTTGATCTCCACTCGCTGGACATTTCACTTTGACAGTATAGTGAAACATGCAAAAATCAACATAATGTTATAGTTTTGCAGAAATGATAAAACAGTCAAGGTTTCCTATTATTATTATTATTATTAATAATAATAGTATTATTTTAAATAAAAATGTATTTGTGCTGTTAAAACTAATATCATAGCTAACATTCCTAAATACTCCTAAATTATCACAACTAAATCACAATTTGACAAATTTCCAGCTTGATTGGGAAATCCCGTTCCACACATCTACTTAATTAATAATTAGGGACACTATTAACTAGTTGCTTATTAGCATGCACGTTACTAGCATATTAGCTGTTTACTAGTCTAAAGTATAAAGCACATATACCTTATTCTGCATGACTGTATTTTAGATCCATTAATCCTACACCATACCTATACT